CTCGACCAAACTTTCTTCTTCCAGCGCTTCTTCCAACATCTCTTCTCCTTCTGCTCACATCCACACGGATGATCATTGCAACAGGACAAACGACCGAACGCACAAAACGGACAAGACAGGAAAATAGGGCAAGCTTATGTAATTTAATTCATGTATCAGCATATATTTCACACAATCAACTAAACAAGATAAATCATTAACTCCTTCATGCAAAGCCTAATACTAGACTCTGACTGTTCGGACTGTATGAATTCTGTGTAGCTACGACGTTTGTGCACCCGGGTGATGTAGTAACTGGGATACCCTCAACAAGTGTCACCCGAGGTTAGTCCTATCTGTCCAAATTAACCATAAGGACTAGGACCTCCTGTCATTCCCACACATGATTTACCCTTCTCTACGTGAGAACGAGGAATCACGGAATATCAGGAGGATCCGCCAACTTAGCGTGCCCACATTCATACTTTACTAATATAATCGGATGTTGTTCACCAAGTGATCCAATTTAATGAACTGACTCTTAAGAGTTCAAACCGAACACCGTAAAGCCTAGGCCGAGTACTAAGACTCTAGGCCGAAACCAATTAAGACATATACTGTAGGACATCAAATAATAGCACTTGACGGAATCATATGAAGAAACCGAATGCCAATAAATGCTTAACTTCTTAATGAGTTAAACATCAAGGAAACCAAATGTTAGTCGAAGACCGGGCACTATAGAGAGCGAACACTATTGAGTTTGGACGAAACTGATCGGTTCAAACGGACGCCCTTGAAGCCGGGAAAGTAGAAATGGTGCCTGAGTGGTGATCGGAGGAAGGAAAAATGAGGATTTCTTAGAAAGAAGTAAGAGTTTTTTTTTTAGAGAGAAGGAGGAGAAAATGGTTTCAGAGATTTGGAGAAGAAGGTAAGCAAGAAGAAGTGGGCCTGAAATTTTGAAAACCCAGAATTTTATTCCTACCGTCATTGGCGAACGCCCACTCCACTACTCACACCTGTCTTCCACTTTCTGTTTTCCAGTTCTCCTTCCTCGACACTTGTCTTCCACTCAGCTGGGTTTTGGGTGAATTTTTAATGGGTCTGAGATATATTGTATAAAAAAATTCAATGTAACATTATTTGGAATTAGGAATAAAATTAATTAATTTATAAAAAGTATATAAAATTTAGTTTAAAAGGTAATCATTAGATTAACTCATTTAAATAAAATGACTTATTCAAGTAAAAAAAAAGTATGTACAAAATTTAAAAAAATAAAAATTGATAATTACATAATATAAATTTTATTTACATAATAATATACTTTTTCTTAGAAATGTATATAAAATTTAAATTTTATTCAAGTTGCACTTTTATATAAATAATGGAGAGACTAAAGTTAATCTTAGATATTCTTAGAGGTCACTTAGCCATCAATAGGATCTTTGTTATTAACAGTGAAAATAAATGCATGCGTAGCGGTTTATTTATTATTTAGATATCTGCAATTTAATTTGTTTTAATAGTAAAGAATAATAAATTTTTTAATTATAAAATTAAATATATATTTTTTAATAATATTATATAGATAATTTTTATTGATTTTGTCAGTAATATTTTATTATGAATAGTTATTTTAGTTTAAAAAATTATTAAACTTTAAAAAGAATTAAATTAAAAAATAGTTAAATTTAAAATAATAGTCACTTAAAATAAAATTAATAAATAATTATTTTAGTAAATGATAAATATGAAAAAAATGTATACACCAAAATATTTTTTTTTATATATAATAGTATAGATAATTGGTCGTTATAACTTATTCAATACAAATAACGAACATATTTTACAACAATTTTTGCAATGTTATCGTATAATTTTATATTATTTAATATTTTTAAATATTGTTAACAATTTATTTACAAAAATTGATTCTTTTAAATATAAATGTAATTATTGAATTTTTTTAAGAATCATTGCGATAATTATTGAGTAAAATTTGTGGTTTATGTTTGATTGAGCTCGTGATTGAATATGTTTGGGTATCTAAAATTTGAGTTAAATTGGTAGATTGATATTATTTGATGATGTTTTGAGTCAAATTGTATCTTAAGGATTGATAAAGATAAATATTGCTTAGAGAAGTCAACGGACTAATTTGATATACATGGTTAAACTTTGATATTTGACCTTGAGATATTTGTTGGACATCATTTGATTATCGTTGTACACTATATGAAATTAAATTTTAGTGAGCTCTAGAGGTTTGAGATACTGAGTGCCACTTGAAAAATTAAATCATGTAAGCTCTAGTAATATGGGCACTATGTATTGACTCTTTGTCGTTAGGTACTAGTGGCTAAACATTGAGCGTTGGTTCTTGCGTTTGAGAACTTATGAAAATTTTAAACCTTTTGATTTTGATGAAAAAGGTGTTTCAAAATTACAAAAGTTATATTGTTTTGATGAAAATGGAAGGATGAGAACTTATAACGATGACATATTGTTAAGTTGAATAGAACCTGAAATTTTATGCCAAAAATCTATTTGAAAATGTTATTTAATGATAAACTTGTGTGAATTGTATGAATATGGTCGCTTCTTAGGAGAAATGTCATATTATATATGATAATATATACACTAGTGTATGTTTTTCATGAAAGAAATTATCCTAAATATATTAAACTTGCATACTCATAGAAAATGCAATTTTGGTGGCAAAAGTTTAAAGAAGTTCTTATAACAAGATTGAATGCAAAGGAACATCATTTTGACGAGGTTATAGTAAACTAACATTATCATGGTAGACGTCTGTCAAATGGATCCACAATCGCTATTTTTCTTGAATCCACTCCAGAGAAATTTCTTGACTGGTGTAGATTTCATATGATCACCTACACCTTATGTATACTTTAGAACTATAGTCTTATAGATTTCTTTTGTGTCTAATGTTTAATGATGTGTTGACATATAAAGTGTCTGAATGAGATCATGATTCATGTTATATGAAATGTATGATATAACCTTACAAAAATAAATAAGATTATTCTTGTTCTTTATCTATGGTTGGTTGTTCACTTGGTATTATCATGTGATACATGTGAGTAAAGGATGATGAATGAGAAAGTAGTTCTTAGTAGAGGCCTGATGTGAAAATATGCAAGTAATGTCAATGTTTGGTTGTTAGATTTATATATATCCTCACTAATAAAATATTTCAACTTTCAAAACTTTTAAAAAACTTGTGTAATTTCGGAGGACTATATATTTCTTTTTATACATATTTGTAATATGTTTTAAATTGTCTTATATTTTTTAAGTGATGATTTATCCAAATTAATCCAGTCCTTGTAATTATAATATAAGATTAATTTTAACCATATTATTAAGTTATTTTAGAAAAAAAATACTAAAAATAATTTAATAATAAATAAAAATAATAATAAATGAAAATATAAATGGTTGAAAATTTAGATGAATGAGACACAATCTTCTAACTAGTTTAGGAAGTAATATGTGAAACGCGAATTGAAAGGAAATAAATAAAAAAACTTGATAAAGCTTAATTGAAAGAGTGAAAAAGATAACTTGATAAAGCTTGAAAGAGTGAAAAAGATAACGAGATTGTATATTTACAAATAATTTAATAATTTGTAAGAAATTTAAATATATTAAATTTAACTTTTAATATTTTAAATTGATCAAAATTTAAAATATTTTATTTAAATGAAATAATTCAAAATATTTAATTTTATTTCTTATTATCTCTAAAGTATTTAAACTATTATAAAAGTAAATCATTAAGATATATTGATAAAAAAAAATTGGACTTCAATTTAAATTCTGACTTTTATTATTTATCGAGATATATTCATAATTTTAGTGGCGTTCATAAAACATTCTTGTTGACGTTACATGAAAAACAATCTTATTAATGTTGGTCATCAGGTTTGATTAATATTGGTCGAAAAACAATGTCCACATACATAAATAGTCTAAGTTCATGTTAAACGAAAATGTGATATCTAACATTAGTCAACAAAACGTCAATAATGTTAATTAAAAAGCCTCACTTAATTTTCACAAAAACTAATTTTAACAAAATAGACTAAAAGTAATCAAAATTAATAATCCTTATCAACATTAGCTAGTTGAAAAAATGATGTTAAACTAATTACATACAACCTAGACCGAGTTAACATCCTAATTAAAATTAACTTAACATATCTTAAATGAAACTAATTCAAGGAGAGAATGAAAAAAAAAGTATAACTTTGAGAAAGAAAATAGTAGACTTTTTTTTAAAATTCTTATGTTTTTTAAATAAAATTTAAAATCATCTGATTAATTAATCTCATAAGTTCTTATGTGTTTTTCTTCTTCAAAATTTAATATAAAGTAAAATATTTTATCTTAGCACATTTCGAATTTAGTATAAAAATAAGTCCCAATTCAAACACATTATCAAGTTTTCTTTCTCTCTTGCATTCAAAACTATACTATAAAATTATCTAAAACAAATAACTTTTATATTTCTAAAAGAAAAAAAAAATAAGAGTGAAATATATTGTTAAATAAGAGTGAAATATATATATATATATATATATATATATATATATATATATATATATATATATATATATATATATATATATATATATATATATAGTTATTAGTCATTGATATAAGGATGTTATGGATTACCCAAAGGTGATATTGTTTAGAATTGATGACATTAAAGTGAGACATTTCATGTACTTAGTAAATATGTTTGTATATCTAAAGATATCATACATATAGACTTAAGTATGATTGATTGTTTATTAAAGTATATATGGAATTTGTCAGTTTAAGAATCACCCAAAAGTGAACTTAAATGAATGACTTAAATGATTACCTATCAGTTTAAGTGTCACCCAAAGGTGAACTTGAATGTATGACTATTGTAGTAATTTGTTTGAATCCATTAATTTTATCAAAGCATTAATGTATGAGTTTGTGTATTATTTCCAGCTTACATGAATTTATCAGGTTTGAGCAACAATGTGGTCAAGTTTAATGGGCTCAATTATGTTGATTGGTTAGAACAAATCTATTTCCAACTGGGTGTGTTAGACTTGGACATGGCAATTATGATGGATGAAATGCCCGCAGCCATTACAGAGACTAGTACAAGTGATGAGAAGTCTCTTTATGAGGCTTGGCATAGGTCTAACAGGCTGTCCCTAAACTTGATGTGCATGTCTATGGCAGAGAATGTAAAACCTTCTATGCCTAAAAAAGAAAACGCAAAGGAATTCATGAAACTGATTAAGGAGTACTCACAATCAAACATAACTGACAAGTCTATTGTAGGAACTCTTATGAGTGAGCTGACTACCAAAAAGTTTGACTGGTCACATCCCATACATGACCATGTAACTGGAATGGCTAATATAGCAGCAAGATTAAAGTCAATGGGAATAGAGGTGAATGAGTCTTTTCTGGTACAATTTATCATGAACTCTCTTCCTCCTGAATTTGGCCAGTTCCAAGTGAATTATAACACTCTTAAGGATAAATGGAACTTTCAAGAAATCAAAGCCATGTTGGT